CGCAAAAAACGACGCACTTTTGTACAATATAGAAAAGTGGCAACTGTTACTCAGCGCGATTCACGAATACCATGACAAAATGAGACTGTATTGGTGTGCCCATCTATGGTCTAAGGAATCCTTCATCAAAGTGATTTACTGCAATAATTTAGTTAATTAATAATTATTATATTACTTCAGTGTATTTTAGAAATACTATTTCTAAAAATATATTGTTCTTAAAAGTCCTTAAAAGAAAGCAATTTTAATTTTGTGGCACTTTCATCTTCTTTTCGGCACTATTTTTGAATACCATTAGGCACATTTGGCAATTTTGAAATTCCATCCCTGGTCTGAACCTAGTCGTATGAGAGTCTGCAGAATTACCATCGCAAGCGTAGCTACGCAATGCAGCCGGGCGTCCAATTACATATGTATACATACAATAAGTAAATATTTCTACGATACGCTGCGACTGTGTGCTTAGTGGTCGTTAGCAGCGTTGCCGCTTTGGTAATTTTTTACCAAAACTGGTAATTTTTTCCTTTTTGAACGAGGTTGGTAATTTGGTAAATTTTTTCAATTTGGTAATTTTTCTCAGCGTCTATTCTTTTAAGTTTTTAATACTAACTTATTACTTATAAAAATTTATAACTTTGAACCTTCTTACAATTGCACAAAAAAAAATTGCTTATGTACTTACATATCGAGTCGTATGCGCAAAAAAGACGTATGAGCCATGATTTTCAATTTCGGTTTTTTTATAAAAATGGATAATTTATCATCACACGCACCATCCCTCAAAGTTTCAGCGCCATAAAAAGCACCGTTACGAATTTAGAGCAAAAGCAATTTTGCCGTAAGTGCCATTTTTGTTTGTTTACATTTTTAGTGAGCAAGCAGTGGCTGATACGTCTTTTTTTTTTTGAAATTAATGTGAATAAGTGGTTAAATACTAATTTGCTTTGAATTTTATTGCGTTGTTTTTTTAAATATGGCGTCTTGGCGATCTGAGGTACTTAATCTTTTAATATTTCTACCATTTTAATGAATATTTCAGATGAAACAAATAATTCTTTTTAGGCTACAAATAAAAAAGCTATCGTTCCCTACAGTGAAAGCGATACAGAATATTCTGAGGAATTCGTATCTGTAGTCACTCCGAATGATGTTGAAGAAGAGACATGCGTTGGAAAAAGAGGTTACAGAAAGCGTAGACCATTACCTAAAAGACTGCAGAATATTAAAAAGTGTAATAGAAGTGTTTTTACAAATCCATGTGCAAATAAAAAATGTCCCTATAAGTGTAGTGAAAAGTTTGCCGAGTCAGATCGTTTAGCAATAAATGAACATTTTTGGGGCATAGGTAACAAAATAAGGCAAAAAGACTGGTTGCTTTCTTGCATGATGAGCAAAAATGTAAACAGGCGCAGGGGAGGCAGTGATAAAAAGCGAGTCAGCTATAGTTATGCAATTGATTTCAATAATATTAGGCACAATGTATGCCAAAAATTTCTGCTGAGTACTCTTCATATATCACAAAAAATGTTAATATGGATAAGAAATAACAAAAGTTGTTTGAAAACCTGCACTGCTAAAGTAAAACAATTCAAGCCTTATAACAAAACTTGTGACGCTGACGACGCAATTGTTACCTCTTTTATTGAGCAGTTCCTTCGCATTATTGTCGCGATAAAAGCAACAAGCTGTACCTTCCACAAGAATTTCGCAACATAAAAGGAGTATATAAATGCTATACTAAACATCTTCTAAGTATAAATAAGGAAGGGGCTAAAGTGTCCTTATATGTTTTTCGAAACATTTTTAAAAATCGTTTCCATATTGGTTTTCATTTGCCTAAAAAAGACAAATGCGTAACTTGCGTAAACTATAATAACTTGAATAATGAAGCCCAACATAGCTTGAAGCAAACCGAATCATATCAAAATCACATAAGAGACAAAAATAAGTCTAAAGAAATTTTTTAGAGGAACAGAAAAAAAGTACTCATACGTCAAGTCCGACATTCCTTTGTGCAAGCTTCGACCTGCAAAAAGTTTTGAATACACCTCACGGGAAAAGTGTAACCTTATTTTATTCACGAAAATATGCATATTACAAGGAAAGCATATATGAGAATGGCACCCGGAATGGTTACTGCTTTTTGTGGGGAGAAGCTGATGGCAAAATGGGTTGTAATGAAATTTCGACCATTATATTTTGCTATCTCCAACTTGTGGATGAAAGAAGCACGTACTCTTCAATTAGCCTGTACTGTGATAGTTGTGCGGGACAAAATCGCAATAGAGCTTTGCTAGCTATGATATTATATTTCCTTGAAAACTCAAATTTTATCAACAATATACGAGTAACATATTTATTACCTGGACATACTATGATGCCCGTTGATTCCATTCATAGTACTATCGAATCATTTGTCCGAGATAGGACCGTTTGGGCTCCAAGTGAATGGTACACTATGATATCTAACGCTAGAACAAATCCGGTTAATTATGAATGTATTATCATGAATCATTGGGACTTCAAAGACTGGAAAACATACTCACAGGCACTGTTCCCCAATTCAAAAAAATTATCGTTTCCAACTTTGCGCTCAGCAACATTTGAGAAAAATAATCCTATTATTAAGCTTAACCATGGATACGGTGATCATTCCGAAATTAAAAATTTTAATATGGACTCCATCGCACGGTCAAGACGCAACACTCATATAATAACAAGTGGACCACTTCCTCTGTATAAGAATAAATCGGAAATTTCATCGACGAAGTACAAAGATTTAAAAAAACTTTGCGAAAATAACACAATACCTCGACATTTTCACAACGAATATTTAAATATGCAACACGATGAGAACGTCAAGGATCGCCTTCCTGAGACAGATCAAGAGGAAGACTGATACTGATAGATTTAATTCCCTTGTTTTAAACATAATTTTACTTAATTTTACACTTTTTAAAACTTTTTTTTATGAAAACCAATGAATTTAACTTAGAAGACTTAATTTTACATGAATTTAACTTAATTTTAGATATATATGTGAGTAAAAATAAATAATCTGAAGTACAAAATAAAAAAAATAAACATATGTGAAAAAAAATTTTGATGTAACAGCCAAATCATCAGACAGTAGCTTGATTTTGTGCAGGCAAAAAAGACGTATGAGCCAAAACCTACCCTTATGCTACGAATATTAAAATTCTATTTATTGCATTATATACAAGAGAACTAAATAAAGTTACTTACCAAATTTCATGACAATATATAAGCTGGATGCAAAGATATTAAAAAAAAACCGTCTCCTGAACAATTTACTTTTTGGCTCATACGTCATTTTTGCGCACACGACTCGATATGTATGCGTCTACACCTTAAGACAGCCAAAAATTTAAAGGGCTCTTTAATGAACTCTTAGTATGAGAACTTTTAGTATGAGTTTGCAATATAGCAATTTAAGGAATCCACCCATTTTTCCCAATATGGCGGCTCGATCACAGCCCCTACAGTCCCACAAATCAGGGTTTTGGATAATTTTTACCTGCCGGAACCAATGGTGAAGGAAAATAATTTCACAGGACTAATTAAAATTTTGCGATTAAATACGAATGTGAACCATTTATAAAATTACAAAAGTAAATTTTATCTAACGTTTAACGATATATTTGCTGGTTTCATGGTTTGATTTTAAGTTATGTAAAAGACTGTATGTTACAGCCCATTTCCACCAAACGCTTAATTACACTTAAGGGTTTAGATAATTTTAACAAGAGGTGATCCGCAAGGTTTATATATTCGTTTTTGTTATTTTCCTTTCATTTGCTTGTGCTTAATATGAGCAACTACCTCCTTAGAGTTGTAATCTGCTTTTTTCCAATAGGCATAAACTGCAGTGGAAATTAACTATTAAACACCTTTTAAATGTTTGTAAATCTCTGAGTGATTTTTTGCGCTATGTTTTAAAAATATTTGTGAATTGTTATAGTCGGAACACACTGAAGAGGACAACCACAGCTGTAAATTGTTCAACTTCGTTATCTAAACGCTCTATCGATGGTGATATGAATTTTTTGAACGCGGCAGCGACATCATGATTTTTATGAGTTTCTCACAAAAGAAGGGGAAGAACTCATCTTTCGGTCAAAAAATATAAATAGATCTAAGCTGGCCACAATCCCAGACGTGATGCAGTTCAGTCGTCGCCAAAATAATTATCTACATACGTCGAAAAAATAATTTCCAATTTGTTTAGAATATTATGCTCATAAAAATTTGGTAATTTTTTTTAAGAGGTATGGTAACAAATTAAAAATCTTTGTGGCAACACTCGTCGTTAGCTGGCATTCGTATGATTTGATGCGAATGCGAATGCCGAATGCGAATGTGTAAAATGATGCGAATGCAAATATTCGCAACATCCCTGATCCTAAGTGTCACCATATGTTTGCTAATCATACTCTACATACTACGAGAATAAAGGTAACACTATTATTTTGATTATGAGTTGTTTGCGTAAATACTTTAAAATATGTAAAAAATTGCGTAATTGTCCATTCCATTCACCTACAACTCCCAATCCCAGAAACCGCTACGGAATTGGAAAGAAGTAATTTTTAAGCAAAAAACAAAACCAACTTCAATTCTCATATAAAAATTTAAGATTATCGTTAAATTTTTAATGATCTAATGATCGGATTTAAACCAAATTAGTATGGGCCCACCTGTGAGGTAACAATTTTTCTTAAAAAAAGAATTTTAGAAATCGGTTAACGTGGTCCAAAGTTATGCGGTAACATACATAAAAAACAAAAAAAAAATATTCTGATGAACTGATAACCTTCTTTTTGTGAAGTCGGTTAAAAAGCCATACTGTAAATGAGTAGCGGCCAACGTACATGTGCACGTAATTAAATACTCGTATATTTATATTGTACATGTGTAGATATATACTTATCAGTAATTTAAGTCAAACTTTTCAAGCAGGAATGCAGGTGTACACTTACCCTTTTTCAGTAGTATTTCATCGGTCATTGGGCAGCTGTTGTGTTGCGCGGAGGACAAGTTGCTGGTGCTCCCACTGCCGCCGTTGACGTTGGCGGCGCCACCACCGCCTCCGTGCGGACTAAGCGGCTGTACACCCGAAGCAAAAGCTGAGGTCACAATTTCCGTTGGCGATGAAATGCCGCCACTGCTGGCGCTGTTCACCCCGCTGGAGACTGGTCCCCCGCCACCACCAGCGCCACGATTTAGCGGAGGCGAATACCATGAAGTAGAATAGTGTCGTGGCGGCCAGCTTTGATTTGATATAGCATGATGGTGCGTGTGCGGTAGGTGATGTGCGTGGTGGGGCGGCAGCGATGTGGCCGAGGCGTGCATATGCGGGTGTGTCTGTGGGTGCGAGTGCGACTGCAGGTGGTGATAATGATGTGGAGCCGCAGGTGCCAGCGTGCCCGCCGGCGGTGGAAGTGATGAGTTTGAGCCTATGCCGCTATGTTGATGTTGGCCATTTAGCAGGCGTAGCTTGTCGTAAACAGCATCCGCAGAGTCTGTGGTGCCACTAATACCAGCAACGCTACCATTCGTCGTGCCGCCATCGCCGTCTCCACCACCGACACTGCTACTCATACTGCCGTCGGAGTTCAGCGGTGTGTTGGTTGTCTGCATCAATTCCCCACTGCCGCCACTGGTGGAACCTCCACCTAAGCCATTGCCGGCAGCACTGCTCGTGGGGTTGGAAGCGTTCGGGTTGCCAGTGGCGCTACTTGCACTGCCGCCATTGCTGCTGCTGCTGCCATTCGTTAAAAGCGAGCCGTGTTGCTGCTGTTGTTCCTTTTGGGCGGCCAAGTTGCGCAGCACTCGGTTAATGGAGGAAACCTAAGAAATTGTTAGAGACAAATACATCAATACTCATGAGTAGATAAACAAGTGCATATGTATGTATGTATTTGTAAGTAAAATATAGACAAGCAAAGCAAATATGCAGGTGTACATAAAAGTAATTCCATAAATGCATATGTGCGTGTATGAACATGTGAGTTATACTTTTATTAAATGGGAAAGCGCAAAGAATTAGGAAAAGAGCATAGAATAAAAGCCTGAATGCGAATGCATACAACGACTTTCTGGACTGAGTGGCATGAAACGGTAATGATGCTTTGCTGCCATTGTCGTCCGTCGATTCATGCCACAAAAGGTGCACCCGTAGGTTTTTGTTAATGAAAAATTCTAATTTACTAAGAAATTTGCATTGCAGCCGCTATTTCTCTTTCCCTGTGTATTAGCAGGGCATTCGCATTAAATGCGAAAGGCTGAATGTGTGAGTGCGTGCGCTGCGCCAGCTAGACCCGAGCTCGAGTTTATCAGAACCGAAGAAGAAGGCCTGCCTGTGTAGTTGCAGGCAGTGTTGATATTTTAAGTACAATTGTACTTTTTTCAGTACAATTAATTTTAAAAGGTACTAAATTACAATTGGCCGATTTAAGTTTTCAGCATCAAAAATACTTTTTGTACCCAACGCTCAAATCTCTTCTAGCACTTTGATTCTTAATCCGTTTACATTTAAGTAAATGGGTATATGTACCTATATTTCATATTTGCTACAAAACGAAATTATGAATTGTAATTTTGGATGTAAACGTGATTATGAACAGCAATATTAGTGTTGTGCGTTATGGTGACTGCGATTTCTTTTCATCGGCGGGTGAAATATCCCTGATAGCTAATTATTTTGAAAAAATCTTTGGAAATGCAATTTACCTAATGGCGATCCTGCAGATATAGAAGTAATTAAGCGATTCCGGTGTTGTATGTAAATTTCATGCGTTGTAGTGATCTCATTTTGTGTGGTTTATTTTCATTAATATGAACTGACCTGAGTGTATTAATTTTTTATCATTATTGTCTTCATCTTTGACAAAATTACACGGTCACCCGGTATTTATTTTATTTATTTGTAATGAATTTTAAATATTTTTTTTTATAAAATTGTAGCTCATTGTCTAACAAAAACCTTACAATTAAATCCAAACTTGAAAGAGTGAAAAAGATCAACAGAGTTTTATCAAATTTTCACCGTTTTTGTTCAGAATTTGTAGACATGTTTTGGGTTAACACTTTTGTAGCCCATTCACTGTAGTATAATAAGATGCAAGTTAGAAGTGTCTTAATAATACCGTTGATTTTTGGAATTTTTTCGTTTGTGATGTTGCGCACTTTCTTCCATATAATGAATGCTCGCATTTTATTTTATATGGATGAAAATGCGCAACACCGTTGTTGACGTTTTTTTTTTTTCAATATTTTAAATTAAGTTGTATTTGTATAGATTTTGTTAGACAATGAGCTATACTTTTATAAAAAAAAATAATAGTTAAAATTAATTTGGAAAAACTATAATAAACAGCCCAAACCGAGTGTCAGTAGCTTTTTACATTTAAAAATGTGAGATATATAGTTCAAGAATTTATTTGTGTATAATTTAAGTTAAACTCTAAGCTTAATGAAACCTAGTTTAACTTAGTGGGACTTTTTGGCAAAAGTGGCTATGGTGCGTATTCATAGTCCAGCAACTAAGTCGAAACTAACAAAGTTGCAACTTAAATTTAAGTACCAACTTAAAATTTACCTCATTCATAGTCGCATTTCAGACTTCTACTAAGTAGTTTCGACTTAGTTTACGATTAGCAAAACGAGTGTGAAAATGTATCGATTTTTCTTTACGATATTTTGGAAAAATTACATTTTTATTAAATAGTATCAAGTTTGATCATCCGTTTACGAAATTTTTGTTTTCATTGCATGATTAGGCAAAAGAATAAGGTATCATTTTCTTGTTAATTGTGTGAAATAGCCAGAACAACCGCAGTGATGTGAAGTCGATGTTTATCGAAAGCATGCTGTGAAACATACAAATAGTAGATATCTAAATGTTATGCACAAATTTACTTTAAAAGAACTAGCGTGTAACTGACTTATTATTTGAAAATTTATCTAAATTATTCCAATTATAAAATTGTGATGTAGCTTTATTCGAATTGTAATACGCATTCAATTTCATCTTCCAATTAAAATGGATCGATCCTTGTAAATTTTAATTGGAGTTTATTCAATATTATCAAAATCACCCTCTACCAAGTTCATTTTTACATATTTCGTCTGTTTTCCCTTAATTTGATAAAATACTTCTTCCTAGTTACGACTTAGTTGCAGCTGCAGCCGAAACTAAAATTTAAGTTGGTACTTAGCCAGAAAAGTCGAAACTAAGGCGACTATGAATATCTTTAGTTGTGACTTAGAATAGTTTCGACTTAGTTGAGTACTAAATATGACTATGAATATGCGCTTATGACTTTATAGGCTAGCTGAAGAGATCTCAATGATAAGTAACGTTAAATTAAGCCTACACTAACTGGAGCAGTACAATGAATTGAACAATAAACACACTGCAGTAGACAAAAAAATTGGTTTTGTCTGGTTGCGGGAAAAGGGAGGTAATGCGTTGACGTAAATGGTGAAAAGTACAATAAAACTCCAAAAGTTACACTTTTCGTCATAATTTAGTACAATTTTAAAATCTTAATATCAACACTGGTTGCAGGCTACCAGTTTGCCGTCTAGCTAACGGACTGGCTGTGACAGCAGATGTCGCACATTTTTCCTCGATTTTTTTGTTGTTGTAGATTTTCGTTTATGTACTTTAGTTTTTTGGTCCTTGGTAGTTGTTGTTTTGGTCGTTGATGTTTTTTAATGCATGCCGCGTCTGTTGTTGACAGCACTAGCAGCAGCAGCGTTGGCTACGATTTAAAAGGCATGCCACGGTATGGGCTTTGGTCCGGAAGGGGAAAGTGCAACTAAGTGGAAAAATTAGGCAAAAATATCCTCGCACATTCAGTGACAGAAGGGCGGCGCAGTGCCAGCGGTAATGAAATTGAAAAGACAATAACAAAAATATCCGCCGTAAAATTTTTTTAAAAGTGAACCAGGTTCTGTAAACACTAAATGTAACCATAAATATTATAGCTATGAAAAGCAATTGAAGAAAAAATATAATGCGCACCGTGGAAAAAGTGCAAAAGTATGAACATGAAATGTATGCAGACTTCATAACAACTACAAAAACGTTAACGTTATTGTTGATTGAAACTCGAAAAAAAACGAACAGAAGCTAATGCATTATGGCAACGATACAGCTAAGAAATTAATGAAAGGCTAAAACCTCCTTTTATCTCAGACTTTTGAATTCTAGTTTTTGTTGTTTATTTCCTAAGAAAAAAATTTTACCAAAATCATGTCTGATATTTTCCAAAAAAGAACAAAACTCAAACCTTTTGCTTTCTTAGCTAAAAATAAAACTACAAAAATATTTTATTCTCCACTTAAAACTCTAAAATATTTTTTTCTCAACTAAAAAAAACCAAAAACACTTATTTTCCAAGATGCAAATCTAAACGTAGGTAACTTATTTTCTTGGAACTTTTATTATATGAGTAATAAATAAAACTAGCAATCAATTTTTATAACTGAGTTCTTACACCGGCATTTGGTTTGTCAGGGCAGTTTTTAGTCACTAATTTTACAGGCAACTTCAAGTTTCCGCAATCAGCAGGGGGGGAATTAAATGCTAACTTAAGTAATAATTATAAATGTCTAAAGACGTAGGCGAAATATTTGCAAAATCTAAGCCGTGTTCAACTCGCCAAATCTCTTTAATTTTTAAGTAAAATAACGACTGAATGAATACTTAAGTTTTATATATTGGAATCGTTTGAAATTAGATACACATTGAAAGCATTTTTTATGCGGACAAACAAAAAATCATTGTAAGTCGAAGCTGTCGGGTTTTTAATGACAAGTCACAATTTTGAGGGTTATTTGAAAATTCTAAATATGAGGCTTTTTTACTTTAGCTGATGTACACTGGAGATCAAAACTGAATGAATGTAGGGCATTTTATCACTTATAGTAACATAACTTTTTTTAATAATAAGCGGATTGCTTTGAAATTTTCAGCAATTGGACAAGCGATTCACATCAAAAACCTAAGGAAACTCTATTCACTCACTTTTGATCTTTCCTGTTTTGAGATTTTAGGAGGTTGATATCAACGGGATTGTGGATTCTCGTTTGTTTCTATTAGCGACCAGCAAATGCCTGGCTTGCTTCGCGACGCCTTATAAGAACTTTTGCGTTGACCAATACAAAAGTAGTGTTGCTATGCAAAAACGGTTTGTATATAAATATTATTAGTTTAGGTTAAAACTACTGAAGAGCAGAACCTTGCTTACTTATAGGCCAAGAAAAATAGCGCTGAGATAACATATGGTATAAGTACTAATCTCCTTCGGTGCTAAAAGCTCTTATTTCCACGCCTGAAATATCTGCAAGTATTGCAAGGTTTACCAAGAGTGCATAATCTTCTTCTACAATTCTGCTGATCCACAGGATGAAAAAGTTTTCCCGTTCAAACGGGGTCATTGATGTTCCTACCATGTTCTTTTAAATTCGGCACACTTCTTCTTGATACACCGCAGACCCGTTGATGTGCCTAGGATATTTGTGGAGCTTCAACAATTTTGCGCTTCTTTGTACGCAAATTTCATAATAATATTATTTTGTACCAAAATTCTAATTCACATACTAATTTTCAAAAATTTTTCGAAAATGCCGTTATATGAGAAGGGGCGTAGTTACAGTCCGATTTCGCCCATTTTCAATAACAACCTACCTTGGATAAAGGCCAACCTATATACCGAATTTTGTTGAGATATCTCAATTTTTGCTAGAGTTATCGTGTACACCGACGGACGGACGGACAGGCAGACATGGCTTAATCGACTTCTCTTTTCATTCTGATCATTTATGTATACATTTGTCTG